ATGGAGCCTCAGGGTTCAGTCAGCCACCCCCACTGGACCCACCTGGGAAAACACTTTGCAGTCCAGAGGGGAGTAAATGTCAGGAAAATATCTTCTAACAAAACAAGAAGGCAAGCAGCTTTAACCCAAGATGAGATAAAGGGTGCTCCCTTTCCCCCTTCACATCAACACCTCTGTTGAGCATGAAGAAGCCAGAGAGTCTACACCCAGTTCCCAAATGAGAAACCCACAAGTGAATAAGGCAGATTGTTTAATCACCATTGGACTATGCATATCATTGCCCTGTATCATCTGGTCCCCACTAGATGCTTTTCATTTCCTTCACCTGCACCCCCACCAACGAAATTGTGCATCCCTGCAATTTCCATCCCTGCCCATCTTTACCCTGCTCTGCTCCCAACCCTCATCTCCTTCTATCCCCAACATGGTTTTCCCAATAAAATTTTTTAAAAAATAATAAAAATAAACAGAAAGGCTTAAGAAAAAAAATTAAAAAAGAATTAAAAAAAAACACCAGACTCTTCTCCAGTGCCACAATTCAAAAGCATCAATTCTTCTTCTGCCATCCTTAGTTACTGTCCACCATCTGATGCACAGTCCGTAACTGGGAAGACCATGGCTCGGATCAGGGGCACCTGTCTCTAGACTAATGATATCGCTCCTCAGCACTCCAGAACAGTGTCTGACAGCAGACTTCCCCAAAGAAATAGCAAAGGGTGTTTGACGAGTCTTCCTCCAGTCACACTCCTCCTCATAAAGGCCAGCATCTCAAACGACCTGTTCCACATATAGATTGAAAAAGTATAGAGACAGAACACATTCTTGATGCACTCCTTTCCTGATTTTGAGTCATGCAGTGTTTCCTTGCTCCTCCTGGTTCAAGTATAGGTATCGCATTTACCTTAAGTGCCACATATAAGAAACAGTTGCTTAATCCAAGGTCATAAAATTTATACCTATGTTTCTTCCAAGAGTTTTATTACCTTAAATCTGATTCAACTTATTTTACAAAGGGTAAGAAGTAGGAAACTAATTTTATTCTTTTGCATGAGGATACCAGCTTTTCCAAAACCATCTGTTGAAAAGAGTATTCTTTCTCCATTGGTCTTGGCACCTTCATTAAAAAGGTAATTGGCCATAAACATATGGTTTTATTTCTATACTCCTGATTTCGTTCCATTAATCTATGTTTATCCATATGCCATTATCAGTCTAGATTGCTATAGGTTTGTAGTTAACTTTGAAGATAAGAAAAATCTGGCAACGTTATTCTTCTTTTCCAGGACGGAAGTATTCAGGATCCCTTGCATGTTTTGTCAATTTTAGGATCAGCCTGTCAGTGTGTGCACAAGCGCTCACAGGAGTTTTGCTTAGGGCTTCATGGATTCTGTAGATCAACTTGAAGAGCACTGCGATTTCAAACTATCACTGCATTTTCTCACCTAACATGCTCTTGTCCAAATAGGTGTTACACCCAAGGAAGCTAGCATTCTTTTCCTGTGGTATCTGTGTCTGACTCTGGTGTGAAGGTACTCATGACCTGATACAGTAAGTTGAGAACTGGTCCCTCCTCTATTTCCTATAAAAATTTATAAAGAAATGGTATTATTTCTTTTGCAAACATTTGATAGAATTTTCCAAGAAACTCATAAAGAGTCTAGCAATCTATGGGAAGATTTTAATAATTCAATTTAAGTTGTAACAGTTCAATTTCAGTAATTTGCTTGTTTCTGAAAATACTTGCATTTGCTTTATAATCCGTAAGCATGAAGTTGTTGAGGATAGGCCACTATTTATTATCTTTCTAAATTTCTATAAAGTGTTCTCTTCTTTCATTCGGCCATTTGTGTCTTATTTTCATGGACTATCTAGCTAAGTTGTGGTGTTGGAGAAGAATACTGAATGGATTCCATGAACTGTCAAATGAACAAGCAAATCTGTCTTGAAGAGGGTACAATCAGTGTACTCCTGAGAGGCAGGGATGGTAAAACTTCTGTCTCACATACACTGGGTATGTTATCAAGAGGGGTCAGGCCTTGGAAAGAGACATCAGGCTGGGAAAACTGAAGGGTGAGAGAAAGAGGAAAACTGTCAATAAGATCAACTGACACAGTGACTAACAGCAGACTTGACTATATCAGAGGCTGTGAGGAAAAAACAGGTGAGGACAAGGTGCAGATCTTCTGTTCATAAGGTAATTAAGAGTCGTAGTAAACTTGATGGCACCTAACAACAGCAGCAGCAAAATCTAGCTAAAGCTTTAGCAATTTTGTTAAAATTTTGAAAGAACCTCGTCTTTCCTTCATTGATTTTTTGCTATTGTTAAGCTTGTCAAATGGTGGTGGCTTGTGTGTTGCTCTGATGCTAGAAGCTATGTCACCAGAACCTCAAATAAAAGCAAGGTCACCAATAACGAACAGATTGCAGAGGAGATCAAGAGATTTAAGAATTTGGCGAGCTCTGGTGGCATAGTGGCAAGAAGCTGCACTGCAATCCCAGGGGTGTGCAGTTCAAATCCACCAGATGCTCTGCTGGAGAAGGAGGAACTATCTCCTCCTGTACCAGTCAAATCTGATTTGATGGTACACACACACAAATAATAAAAATAAAATTAAAAAAAATAAAAAAAAGAGATTTAAGAATTTTACCAACTTTTGCAGTGTGAATGTGACCAAACATGCAATCACGAGGCACGGATACTGATCATTAGAATGCACAAGTCTGAAAGAAGAATCAACAATTACAGAATATGGCGCTAGTGATATGAAGGACATCAGAGATCACATTAGAATCTGGAAAGACCAGTGACTTATTCACACACACAAAAAAAATCACTTCACACACATTGCTGTCCAGTCAGAACCGATCCACAGCTGACCTTCCAGTGGGTTTTCAGAGGCTGTAAATCGCATAGGAGGAGAATGCCCATCTTTTTATGGTAAATTTTGACCTCATGCTTTTCTGTTGGCAATGGAACACTTTATCAAACAGACCAACAGATCGCCTAGCTACTCATTCTAAACACCTTTCTTCAATAATATAAACATCCACTATGCATGTGAGCCTTACAGGAATCAAGTCAACTAGAGATGGTGGAGATGCTCAATAACAGTCAGAACGAGGCCAGGGCTGATGGCTCAGATCAACTGCTCAGATCCAAGTCAGAAGTAAAGAAAATTAAAACAAGCCCATAAAAGCCAAAGTATGGCTCTTTCCTCAGTTGCCGGTAAGGTGCTCGGTCCTTCCGAGGAAGCTAAGGCCGCGTTGGGGTGAGGGCCTCACTTCATCCGGCGACTAGCACCGCGTCGGGCAGCCTTCCGCCTAGTACCAGCGCACCATGGCCTCCGTCTCTGAGCTCACCTGCATCTACTCGGCCCTCATCCTGCACGACGATGAGGTGACAGTCACAGAGGATAAAATCAATGCCCTCATTAAGGCAACCGGGGTCAACGTTGAACCTTTCTGGCCTGGGCTGTTTGCAAAGGCCCTGTCAAATGTCAACATTGGGAGCCTCATCTGCAATGTGGGTGCTGGTGGACCTGCCCCAGCGGCCGGGGCCGCACCAGCTGGAGGACCTGCTCCCCGACTACTGCTGCTCCAGTTGAGGAGAAGAAAGTGGAAGCAAAGAAAGAAGAATCTGAAGAGTCTGATGATGACATGGGATTTGGTCTTTTTGACTAAACTTTTGTAACATGTTCAATAAAAAATCCTGAACTCTTAAAAAACAAAAAAAGCCAAAGTATGATGCACACCCATGCTTATCATGGCTTTGTTCACAATAGCAAGGAGTTGGAAACAACCTAAGTGCCCATCAACAAACGAATGGACAGAGAAGCTGTAGTATATTCACACTGGAATACTACGCTGCAATGAAAACAAGGATCTCATGAAATAGTATTCAAAACGGGTGACCCTGGAGGACATTACGCTGAGTGAACTATCTCAGTCACAAAAGGACAAATACTGCATGGTGCCACTGTTGTGTCGCTTAGAAGGAGAATGCCCATCTTTGTCCAGCAGAGCAGGTGGTGGCTGTAAACCACATGCCCTCAGGATTGCAGCACAGTTTATTGTCGCTTGCTAGCCTATTTACCTGGATGTCTTTAGTTCCTTTAAATGTTACCAGAAGATGTATCTTACACGAATAAAGATAAGTTTCTTCAAGTAATTAGATAATGAGTTTTCCAAGGGGAGTGTTAGCTCTGAAATACAAATAGTTCACAACAGACATGGATGCCAAACACAAACCACATAATATTCCTGGAAGGTGAGATTTCCACCAATAGCCTACCTACCTTTCCAGCAGCTCCTGAAGGCTCACAACATTCTGTACATGGAGATGCCACACAGCTTCAAGCACCAAAGAATTCTAAAGGAAAAGTCCCATCAGTCTTCACATGCAAAACTTCCTCGGAAATGTTGAGCCCGGGCACCACCCTTTAATACATATATAATCCAGAGCAGCCAGCTTATCTCAAGTGTTTTCCCCACTCTAGTTCTCAAACTCACCAGCATCAGAGCCCTCATAAGACTGTCCTTTAGTTCTCTTCCCCACGCCCACTGCCAACACTTCAGAGCAGGCCTACATGCTTCTGCCCACATCCAACACAACCCCGCACTGTGGCCAACACAGTAAATATAAATTGAAAAGGAACACTCTGTTCTCTTTAGAATCCTCAGCTCCTCACAGATTCCAGTATAAAGTTCTAACTCCCCAACCTGACAAACAAGTCCTTTGTGGTCTGCTCCCCAGTCTCACATCCTAACACTGACATGTATCCCTACAAATGCTCTGCTCATGTCACCTGGATCTGTGTTTGAACAGGCTACATACAGGCTATATCCCTGCTCTATACAGCTAATCTGTACTCTTCTTACCAAGTCAATGCAACCTCAGCTCTGCCAGGAAGCCTTTCCTAGCCATTCAATCTGATGCATTCAATCTCTTCCTGGTAAACCAGTGAACACCTGCATCATTACAGTGTATGTTCAATGGTAGTTACCCTTTCTCTCAAATAGACAATGACAAGTATGTGCAGGGGCCACAGCATGCCAAACAAATCAAATAAACTCTGTAATGAATGCTGTGTAAAAGAACAGGGATGATCACCTTGGGTTTTTCTTCCCTTTTTTCAAATACTTGATAGATTTATTTTGTACCACAAAGCAGTTTCTTTGAGTGCTTCAAAGATCTATAAACCAACTGACTTCAAAGTTTTCCAGAAAGCAGATAATTTTTAAATTATATTTTCATAGTTCAATATATTGGCCCAGAGAACACTTAAAAATAATGTCTAAAAAAGTTTCAAGGAGTCCTAGTGGTATAAGAGTAAGCACGGGGCTGTGAATCCACTAGGTGCTCCACAGAAGAGGCAATTTGTTTCCATAAAGGTTTTCCGCTTTGGAGACCACTTTGTTCTACAGTCAGATCAACTCAATGCTAGTAGATTTGGTTAAGAAGGCTGAATACTATGATTTCTCCCATGTCTTTAATTCTATTAATGATAGTGAATACTTACATACAGGACATTTATTCTGTTTCCCAACCACAGAGGCATGTGTTGTGCACTCTTTTATTTTTCTTTTTTTCCCACTCTATAATTGATTAAGCTTTTATTAGAATCCCTCCAAACAGATGCTGATGTCATTGAAGACAACAGAACATTGGGTGAAAAACTCTAGTCAGAGACACAATCTCAAACTTACCTGCACTTTCCATAATTCCTGACAGAAGGAGCGACGGCAGAGCATACTGTTTGCCAGTAAATACTGAGCAATCTCTATCAAGGAAGACAGTTTCTTCTGGAAAGAGAAATTGTTTAAAACAAGCAAATGAGGGGTAAGGAAGAAGGAGGGAGGAAAATATGCAAAAATGAATGAATGAATGAAAAGAAAAAAAGACAACAAACCACCGTAAAGAGGCAAATAGGTAAAATAAGGGTAAGGTGATTTTTCTGAGCAGTGCTGATTAGCACCTGCCCTCCTCCATGCCCATCTTACCTTCTGCTCCAAAGTGAGCAGCACAGTAAGACTAGACGGGCCTATAGCCCCACAGATCTCCCTAATGCTAGAAGCAGCCACCTGGGCTGACAGGATTCCCACTGGAACCCCCAGTCTTGAGGCTTGATCTTGCAAAGCAGAGCCTGAAAGACAAAACCAAACAATGATCTTTCTCATAAAACATGGTGCTTCACACCACAGAATTTAGGACACAGACTGGCAACTAGAGGTGCCATAGAAAATTGCCTTCTTAAGTGGAGACTAGAGCCACAATAGGAATCCATGAAATAAAAGGAAGGTATTTTCTAAGTAGAACAGCTGACAAGAGGATCATGTGAAGCCAACAATTGTGCACTCAAATGTGTGTATTATTTTGTGTAATATAAAATGTCATTTACTGGATTATTATGATCAAAATCTTTTGTTTTCCCCAAGAAGACAGTAAGATAAAACTCCAAAGTGGTCTTTTTCATTACTCCCTGCATCTCTACGGAACTCAGTGTCAGAGGGATACCTGTTCCCACTGACCTCTAAGCTTACCTAACTAGATCAGGTTTTCCTAAAGCGTCACGATACCAACCCAACAGAGAGGGAACAGAGGGGTGATACTACTTGGCATGGACGCAGTGCAGAGGTCATCCCATCCAATGTAGGGGCAAAAAGAGTCACTCTATGTGATGCAGGGTAGGCAGAGAGGTCACCCCACCAGCCACGAGAGCTGTGTAGGGATCACTCCACCTGGCACAGGGCAAAGGGAGCACAGAGAGAAAGCCTACTTCAATTGACATCTAACATTAACTTTCAAAAAGAAAAACTCAAAAAAACTGTAGCAGGTGTACTCTATCTTCAAGGCTCTGAAAATGCTTACACAGCAGTAGCAGTTATAGCAACTTCAAGGACAGTATTAGAAATTACTAACAGCTACTAGCTAAGACGAAGGTGGGTGATCTTACTCTGTGGCCCTCGGCCAGGTTCAAATTGTCTTCCTGTCAAACATTCTTCTAGGTGGTATAGCACTGGTCTGTGCGTTGCTGTACAGAGGTAACTCGTGTTTGCTGTGATACTGAACACTGCGACAGTGATGTGCCAAACGTGGTAATGGGTACCCAAGGTGCACAGTGTTGGCTGGAGCTTCCCGACTAAAACAAGCCTGGAAGCAGGAGCGGCATCCACTTCCGAAATGGCTTGCCTCCGGAAACTCTATGTACCAACAGTGCTCAGGCCTTTCATTCATAAGGTCACTATGAGTTGTCTACAACTCGATGACACCTAACAACAACTGGCTAAGAAGCCACATACAAAAGTGGTTAAATTAGTACTTGACTGTGGACCAAAAAATCTGTGGTTCAAACTCCACAGTCCCCTAAAAAAGGTGTGGCAGTTTGCTTCTTTCTTTTTCTTTTTTTTGGGCAGTTTGCTTCTGTAGATGGATCATTTTATAAACCCACAGGGCTTTTAGGAGTTGTCCTATAGGGTCGCTAGGAGTCCAAATTGACTCCACAGCAGTGGGTTCTGATGGTCAAGAAAAAATTTACAATAGAAACATAGAAGACATTGGTAATATCTAGCCACTTATTTCCATGGGAAAGTTTATTTCTGCTTATTTATAAAGCTATTATCTTTTTAACATAAATACGATAAGCATTAGTGTGTTGTTGTTAATTGCCTTCACGTTGAGCACGACTCATAGCGACCTTATGAACGAAAGGCCTGAAGCCTCTCTACAACTATCGACATTTCTCAAAATTCAGTTTTTGGAGGCATGTTGTTTAGGAAGTGGATGCCACTCCTAAATAAGCATAGTACTCAATTATCTTCAGTGGGAAAAAGAACTAACAAGTTTTTTAATTAAAGATTCATTTATTCTGTGCAGTTCCCATGCTCAGGGAGCACTGAAGACACATTGCACCACGCAACAAAGACAGTGGCACCTGCAAGGTCCATAGTCAGTGTTTCAAGATGAAACAAACCAGTTCTGAAGATGTATAAATGTCACTGTGATAAATGCTTTCCAAAAATTTGGCAAAGAATGATTTTGCAAAAAATCACGTCTTGCTGTTAGATGCCGTTGAGTTGCTTCCAACACAAAGCAACCCTATATACAATTTCTCTGAACCCTGCTCTATCCTGAGCCAACCTTATTGTCTCTGACCCCAGTCACTGAATCGATCATCTCATCCAGGGTCTTCCTCTCTTGCATTGTCCCTCCACCCTTCCAAGCATGATGTACCTTTCCAAGCACTAATCTCTCCTTTTAACATGCCCAAAGTGTGTCAGACAGGGTTTCAGAATCTTTGCCTCCAAAAAAGCAGCCTGGCTTCACCCTCTCCAGGACAAACCTGTTTGTTCTCCCGGCTGTCCATAGTATAATACTCTTCTCTAGCACCACAGCTCAAAGGCATCAATTCTCCTTCTATCAACCCTAGTCATTGTCCAGCTCTCTGATGCATAGCAAGTAACTGCAAATACTATGGCCTAGATCAGGCGCACCTTAGTCTCCAGACTGACCCTGTTGCTCTTCAGTACTCTGGAGAATTCCCTGACAGCAGTGTTTCCCAATGCAATTCATTTTCTGATTTCCTGGCTTCTGATAACAAGCGTGTTGATTATTGAGTTAAGTAAACTAAAGCTGTTAGCAATCTCAATCTTTTTACCATGTAACATAATGCTATGTTGTTGTTGTTGTTGACTGCCTTCGAGTCGAGCATGACTTGTAGTGACCCTATGAAGAAATGCTCTTTGTCAACATCACTCCTTTTGGTAGACCATGGCACAGTCAATGCTTTGTCAACATCATTCCTTTTGGTACGCCATGGCACAGTCACTGCTCTTTGTCAACATCACACCTTTTGGAACACAATGGTGCAGTCAATGCTCTTGTCAACATCACTCCTTTTGGTATGCCATGGTACAATCACTGCTCTTTGTCAACATCACACTGCAAAGACACTAACTCTTCTTCAGTCTTCTTTAGTCATAGTTAGACTTTTACATGCATATGAAGAAAACTGAAAATATACTGGCTTGTACAGGTACATGTTACTCTTTAAGCTAACTCTTAGGACCTCCAGTCATGGTCACATCCCAATCCTGCAGCATGGCCACCTACCAGCTACTGCTCATCTACCACAGCGAGAGCTCCTGGAACCTGCATAACTGCTTCAGTAGCTGGTATGATGCTGACCTGAGCCCAGCAGGGCATGAGAAGGCCAAGCGTGGTGGACAGGCACTGTGAAATACTGGCTACAAGTTTGACATGCACTTCACCTCAAAGTATAGGAGAGCAATCTGGATGCACCGGACAGTGCTAGACACCACTGACCAGATGTGGCTGTCAATAATGACTTGGCACCTCAGTGAGAGGCATTAACTGCGGCCAACCATGATGAGGCCCACATAAAGATCTGGAGGCACTCCTATGATGTCCCACCACCACCGATGGAGCCTGACCACCCTTTCTACAGCAATAGTAAGGAACGCAAATACGCAAATCTGATTGAAGATCAGCTATCCTCCTGTGAGAGTGTGAAGGACACTAGTGCCAGAACCCTGCCCTTTTGGAATGAACAAATAATTCCTCAGATCAAAGAGGGGAAATGAGAACCGACTGCAGCCCATGGCAACAGCTTTGGGACGTTATCAAACATCTGGAGGGTCTCTCTAAAGATGTTATCACAGAGCTAACCCTGCCCACTGAAATTCCCACTGTTTATGAATTGGACAAGAAATTAAGCCCATCATTCCCACACAGTTCCTGGCACACGAAGAGACAGTTTGTAAAGTCATATGGCTGGTGAGGACAAGGTCAAGAAGTGAAGTCAAGAAGGCAGACTGTTGTCCTAAGGCGCACTCTCCTGCTCATCCTGTTCCTCTGCACCTGTTACACTGACCACATCTGTAGGCATCTTTAGTTGGAGCTGCACAAGGGGAGGGCAGTGGTTCCCATTTCCATCATTTTATCTCCTGCACACTCTCTTCTTCTAGTATAGTCAGAAGGGCACCTCTGGGCCATGATCTTCAATCCAGGGTGTAGGAAAGATTCTCATCCAGAAGTAGTGACTCCAGGATTTTTGATAATAAGTTTGTTTACCAAGGAACCCATCTGAATAAGGGAGGAGCCATGAAGTTATAGCCAGTAAGTGGGAGCCAGAGAACCTAATTCTGTTGCCAGAAGCCAGTGTCCTGCTCTATTCTGTAGTAAGGGCACTCCAAGGCATTCTAGTTATTCCAGTAGAAGACACTATAATCCATGTGGTGATAAGATAGTCCCTCCTCCTAGATCCCAGAGGAGCTGGCTCTAGAAGGCGGCTATCAACTCTGAATGTTTATATGTTGCATTGTCTTTGACAAAAGAAGTACATAAATGACAAAAACCTCTCTAGGTTTTCTCAAGGCAGTTTAAGTAAAATAAGAGGTCATCAGAAAATAAGCCAATCCTCTCTCCATGTGGGACATGCTTCTTGACCTCTTAGGGGCTGGAAGAGTCCTGCAGTGTATTTTACTTGCCTTACTGTTTGTGACAGTGAGATTCCTACAGACCATCTCCAAAAGTGTCTCCACCGTATCTTCTGAATCATGTTCCAATTACTGGGCCCTGCCACTGGGGCCCAGTATCCAGTTTGAACATAACTATACTAAAATCTTGTTTCCACATCAGTATAATAAAGGAGTGATATGCAATTAAAAACAACAACAACAACAACAAAACCCTAAAAAATTCCCCAAACTAAAAAAAAATAAAAAATAAAAAAATCCATACTCTTTAGCACTTTACATACGTAGTAGAAATACTGTTATTATAGTTGGGTACCATCAAGTCAACCAGGACTCACAGTGATCCTCTGAACAAGAGAACTGAACCCCGCCCTTTCCTGTACCATCCTCAGGATTCCTTATCATGCTCGAGTCCATGATAGTCACTGTGTCAATTCGTCCTTGATGGTCTTCCTCAACCAGCCCTCTGCCGTTCCCAGCATTTTCTCTCTCTCCAGAGACATGTTCCTTCAGAAAATATGCTGAAGACAAAGTTTATCATTCTTTTTTGGTTTTTGGTTTTGTTTGTTTTTTTTTTTGGTTTTATTATTTTTTGTATGTACCGTCAAATCAGATCTGACTGGTACAGGAGGAGATTGTTCCTCCTTCTCCAGCAGAGCATCTGGTGGATTTGAACCGTGTACCTCTGGGATTGCAGTACACCTTCTTGCCACTAAGCCACCAGAGCTCGCCCAAAGTTTATCATTCTTGCCTATAAAAAGCACTCCAGGCGAACTCTGGTGGCCTAGTGGCAGGAAACTGCACTGCGATCCCAGAGGTGCACGGTTCAAATCCACCAGATGCTCTGCTGAAGAAGGAGGAACAATCGCCTCCTGTACCAGTCAGATCCGATTTGACGGTACACACGTAAAAAAAAAAAAAAAAAGCACTCCAATGGAATCCCAAAATCTCTGTAGATGTTCATTGAAATGAAAAATAAACAACCTAAATTAAAAAAAAAAGCACTCCAGTTGCATTTCCTTTAAGACAGATGTTTTGTTCTTTTAACAATTCATAGTACATTCAACACTCTTCAGCAATACCATAATTCAAAAGCATCATTTGTCTTTGGTCTTTATTCACTGTCCAAATTTCAAGTGCATATGAAGCAAGTGAAAACCATTATTGTGGAAAATTTTTATTTCTATGAGCTGTAGTCTACTCGATGGTATATAACAACAAAAATATATACAATATGAAAAATATGTAAACTATGATCACTTTATGTAAAAAGTCCCATGGAATAAAAAAAACAGAAAAAACAAATAAATAAAAAGTCCTTTGTAGTCCCATATATAAGGAAAACTAAGCTGTAACTCACCTATAAATGAATTGGAAGGATTAGTGCAGGCCTTAGGACTGTTACAATCAATCAAGTCACTGAGACACAATTTTTCACACTGTGGACCTTCCACCTAGAAACCATGACAGAAAGAGCTCCATTATAAAACTCAAGTTATTGCCCATCAATAAATGAATGCACAAAAAAACTGTGCTACATTCCCACAATGGCATGTTATGTAGCACTGAAAAACAAAGAACTTGTAAAAGACCACAGAACATGGGTGAGCCTGGAAGACATTATGCTGAGTGAAATAAATACTGCATACTACTACTGTCAGAAAACAGGATTGACATGGGGAACTGTAGGGGAAAATAGGAAAAGCGTGTCTAGATAATGAATACTGCATTAGAACAGATGAGGGGAAGGACTCTCTGAAAGGGATGTATGATTATGTATTATGACAAAAACTGGAATAAGAGGTACTACTGCAAAGTAGATTGGGGGGCGGGGAGGGAGGAATGAAATGAATGAAAACACAACCTTTCTGCAAACTCTCATTAAAATCATACTTAAAAACAAAAACAAAACTCAAGTGTACCCCCAAATCAGAACCAACCCATAGCAGACCCTCCAGTGGGTTTTCAGAGCCAGTAGTCAAACGGGAGTGGAAGCAGGAGTGGCATCCACTTCTTAAACAACCTATGGAGACTCTATGAACTTTGATAAATGTTAATAGTTATAGAAAGCCTTCAGGCCTTTTGTTCATAGGGTTGCTGAGTCATGCTCAATTGTTCAGCAATCTACAACATCAAACGGGAAGAGAATGCCCATCGTCCTACAGGTGGCAGAAACTAACCATGTGTCTTCGGGATTGCAGTGCAGATTTTTATCACTGGGCCACCAGAGTTCCTGGTGGGCTTGAAAAAAAAAACAACCCTGAGTTTACCTTCCAGCAAGCTTTCCAAGGCTGCTATCAACTGCATAGAAGAGATTGCCTTTCTTTCTTCCACGGAACATCTACTAGATCCACAACTATTATGAGGTACAACATTTTACAATTTGCCAACCCAAATTCACAAGGTTCAAACCAGGCAGCTGATCGTTCAACAAAGATGAGCAAGCTCCTCCGGTGCAATTTATTACCTCTGAAAACCCACTGCAGGGTCAACTATGAGTTGGATCTAACTCAACAGTACAAAACAAAAGGTTTTGAGAATCACTATTCATTTCACTTTCCAATTTCTTTTCTTCCCAAAGAGAGAAATTCTTTCATTTTTCTCACTTAATGTATTAAAAAGGTTGGCAGATTAAGTATTAAAAACTCCACCATATGCCAAAAGAACGAATAAATCAGTGTTGGAAGAAGTATAATGAGAATGGCCCTTTGAAGCAAGGGTGCCAAGATCTGAATTCACATGCTTGGCACCTGTTCTTAGGGACAATGTGTTTGGTAAAGGAGAGGGTCAGTGAGTAAGTCCCTCAGGAAATGGACTGTCACAGAGGTTGCTACAACTGTGATGCGAGAAGGATGCTGCAGAGTGGGCAGTGCTCTGTGCTGTCCTATGTGGAGTCACTCAGCTGGAACCAATCCGTGGACACCTAAATAGCACAGTCCTTCCTGTGAAAAGCGTGCTCTGGGTGGTCCAGGGCACCCCACAGTGACCTACCTGGTCATGAGTGGTGTGCCCACTCAGTCACTCCCCAACCTTCCTGTGAAGTGCATGCCC